CAATTTAACAGCGAACATATCCGTAGTTCGTGTATATTTGCATCCCCTTAATAAGTTGTTTATCTCAAGTTGTTAGATTAATTAAGAGTGGTTCTTCACTTATCCCAAAAATGATTCTGTATTTGGTGAGATTTTTAATGCAAATATCTTTACATTATCCGTGCATATAATTTTAATCTTCACAATTAAGTCATTTTCTGTCGTCTGTTTTCATGTTTGTTGTTCGTTAAAATACTACGGTTTCCAACTTCCAAAAAGATTGTTCAATAACTACCCTGGTCAAAAGTCGATAGGGGACTTTGCTGAATTAGTGCAAGTCCCTCTCTTCTGCCAGAATTTTCTCAAGCAGGTTTTCTACAGTCCAATTCCTAAAGTTTCTCTTTGCGACTTATTACCCGTTATGCACAAGTTGAAAAAGACAACAGTAGTTCGGAAAACTATAGTACTATTAAAAGTGAAAAAGAAATGGAAATATGTTTGTGTATGTATGTATATAAAGTATCAAACCTACATCGTGATGATTTTGAACCAAGTAACTCTAAATTTTAAATCCGTAAACATGTGATTGGAAATGAATTGCCAATGACCGGAGACAAGAAGATGAAAGGAAAGAGAGAAAGATCAAAAGACAAAAACAAACAATAAATGGCGAAGAGGAAAGAGAAATGGTCATGTTGCCATCAAAAGAAACAGCAGCACAGTAGCATGACCCATGCCATTGACAATTTTAGATTAGTGAAGCATATGATAAAGAAAGGAAACGTTCAAACAAATAGTACTTCACTTTACATCCTTAAGGAGAGGAATAGAGGATCTATATGAGTAACCATTTGTGACCTTCAAGAGACAGACAAAAATTCGTAACATGGGGTTGTTCAAGTGGTCGTGTCTTGGTCCAAAGCACGAATATTGCTGCATAAATTGACTTCACAAAATAGTACTATTCCCTCCGTCTCAATTGATGTGGTGATGTTTACGGAGTTTAAGAAAGAACTGAACACTTTAGGATAAAATAAAAAAAATTAAAGTTAAATTGTTACAAAATAAGAAAGTATGACATTATTTTTGGAACAGAATAAGAAAAATATGACAAATAAATGGAGTACTAATTTTTCTATTTGAGGTCACGGGTTCTTGAGCTCCACCCACTCTCCCACTACTTCCAAGCCCACTTTTCATGACCAGTCCATGACTTTTGGGGAGAAATGAGACTAGACCATACCTGTCACTAACTATTTCCTATAACACAATTTCTAATAGTAAAACTATATTTAGAAGCTGAACTGTGAGAGTGTGCGTTGAGAGTTGGATAATGTTTTCACATATTCATTTGATAATAAAAACAAAAACATATGAAGTATAGTAATATATATTGTTAATGATGTAAGGTTGTTTGGAAAAAACCGTACGAGTTTAATCCAAAATGAGCGGTATTTGCTATATTAAGAGTGTTTTACACCGGCGTTGCCTAAAACTGAGGTAATATCTAATGGTTGAGAGGTTTAATATACTACACGAGTTTGAATTAAGAATTTTCTTTATTATCATTCATCGTATGTCCCCAAAGGAGCAGTCCGAATTTAGGATTTCACTATGTAATAAACTAAATAAGAGGAGGACTCTGGTCATTGTCTGGATTTTGTGCAAATAATAACTACCACAGATTTATGACTCAGTTTATTCTTTTTATTTTTTAAGGAAAGATTCCATTCCTTTCTTGTACTTCAGCTCACATTATTTGAAGAATATATATCGCTAGAGAAGAACAAATTCTTGTGTGGTTTAGACTTTTAGTTAGGTTTTTAGCCATATGTTATTGTCGGACAATAATTTGGTAAACATTTAGTCAGTGCCCAATCTAGTAAATCATTTACAGCGTACTTGTCAAAGGTGTGTGACTGCATAGGTTAGGCTGTCTTGTCCACGCCACGCTATTTGAACAAGGACAAATTTCAAGGACACTTTCACACTTGACCTGTTGTACAAAATATATCTTAAATAATGAACTAGTTGATAAAGTAAAGCAAGTTGGAACAACTCAGAAAAGGGTTATATAACTTCCAAAATGAAAATCTGCTAAAGTGAAATTGCAACTTAGAAAATGGATTGGTGATTTGGATTTTAAATTCTAGACAGTTAGCTTCTTTAATAATCATTGCATTTAGAGCCTGAGATTTTTGAAAATGAAGCCATTTCAGCATGATCTTTAATTTGTAGCCAGTTTCGACTTTTGAATACACAAACAAGTTGTTGAATCGTTTTATTTAATCATCTAGGCACTAAATTCTTAGATAGTCTAGAACAACAACGACGCAAAATAAAAGCATACAACGACTAAGACGCTTTAATTTAAATTGTAGTTTTACGAGTTCGATTCTCAATTGTCTCGCGTAAGTGTTACTATAATTTTATGGGTTCAGATTCGCAATTCTACCATGTCTCATCTAATTTAATGGGTTCAAAATTTATTATTTGTACATATTTAATAATTTTTGGGGCAAAAAGCCCTATGGTATGAGCACTGAACCCATAGTTTCTACACTAGATATGCCTCTAGTGTTAGCCCATTTGATCTTTTATACCCTGTATAACTATATTACGTTTGTGGTTGTTTCGTTTTAATCTTCTGTCTAAAACCTCCCTAACCCTTTTTTTAAAGGAACTGACACTGTATAGTCGCTCTCAAACTAATAATCGAAACAATGTATATTTTTGTCTATATATATATATTTTGTATATTATATAAAAAAATTATACAAATTTTATACACTTATTCGATTGTCGAATGTGAATAGTTTCTAGTGCGGGCTAAAAGTGGAAAAAAAAAACCCTTTTCTATCCCCGTTGAGGCCCAGTACAGTCCAATAATGGGTGATGGCTGGTCCAAGAGAGAATAAAAAACATTTGTCTAAGTGTTCACACTACCAAAATAGGTCTACGACAATTTGGCTGTAAAATTCCAAAGTCTTCTTGCTATGTATGCCAAAGATGATAAAGATAACGCACACGAGATGCCGCATAATCACAGACTATTACGTACTTGCTTTGGTTCTATAACATCTTCAGTATTATTATATCTTTGGTGCGTAAAAATTAAGGGTGAAAAATAAAGAATCTTTTCTCAAATAGCTTTTTCTATAAATTCATGTATCAGCTCAACAAACATCCTTTTGTATTTGAAAAGCTTTCCTCTTTAAGAAAAAGAAATACTATTCCAGTTGTTAGCCTATTTTCCACTACCCTATGGGTAATTTGTGCTTATCATTAAAGAATATTCCATTCAATTGCAATATCAATCTATTATTTGCAATCGTTTTCATGGTTAAAGTTGGGCCATGATTCCTCTATACATGAAAAGATTGGGTCTAGGTTTGGTAATTCCAAAAAACGATTGAATTGAGTTCTACTCGGCCATTTTTGACGTATTTCGCTAAGTTAAATTGCGAATTTTCATATACTACTATTCAGTTGGAATTTCCATACTTCATATTAATATGCGAAAAGCAACAACCAATTATTCTTTTTATATTTACAACTTCTGTCTCAAACTTTAACCAACCCTTTTATATTTCTGTTGAGGACCACTATATATGACAATAATTGGTGATGGCTTATTCTAAGAAAGAAATGAAAAAATATGTATGTTTACACTAGCAAAGTGGGCGAGCAAATGGCTACAAAATCCACAATCGTTTATCTGTCTAAGATAATAATGTAACGCACACGAGATGCCGAATTATTGCGACTGTGATGTACTTTGATTCTACAACATTTCAAAGATGATATGTCTGGAGTGTAAAATTGAAGAAGGAAAAAGAAATCTTTTCCAAATAAGCATTTTGAAATATGGATGTATCGTCGAAATAAATTTCCTTTAGTAATTGAAAAGGACGCTTCTTCTTTAAGAGAAAAGTTATATTCCAGTTTATAACCCACGAAAATCTAATTATTTCCTATAAGTGTATGGGGCAAAATTGATGAACGACGGGTGGATGATCGACGAGTTGACACGTGGAAGAAAAGACAAGTAAAATATGAGTCAGCAAATAGCTGGCAGCTTGGCACCGGTTACAAACATGTGACCGATGCTGAATATATTTTGAAGAAATTGGAACCAAGGACAGAGATCTGAAAGGAAGATATCGATTGGAAAAAATAGTATTCAATGAGCAGCTGTTATAAAGAATTTTTGCATTAATACCCAACCGTTATGCAGCCATCAAGAGGAATTTTATTCATAGAATCATAACAAAAAAGAGCTTGATTTGGGGATCTTCTCCCCCTGAATTGAGCTACAAATAAAAGAATTTGTATTCATAGCGGGGAAAACGAAACATATATACACAAAAAGGCAAAACTAGCTCTTATTCTATTACTAGTAGGGGAAGCCCGTGCTATGCCCGGGCCCAACAAAAATTACAGAGAATCAACAACATAATTTGGTTAATGTTCAAACTTAAATATGCTATGAAGAGCTAATTTACGCAAAGATGTAACAGTTTTGAGGCTCCAACTGTAGTATAAGGAAACTTATGGAGGAATATTGTAACACCTCAGAAATTTTTTGAAGTACTTAAGCTATTAAGAAAGTTGATGTGCGCTAATTATATTATTTTGTGCGCAATGACGGACTATTAATATGATGGATATCAATTGGATATGATAATAAGCGTACGAAGTATATTATAAGTGATTTGGGGTCTAAGGAGAAGCCTAAGTCTAAGCCAAATTGGAAAATTTCAAGATAGACTAAAATTCTAAATGAGCAAGCACAAGATCACACTTTGGACGAGCACATCTACATATATATATAAGGTGTTATGTGATGCACAACCTATCAAATTAAAGGTCTTTGAGTCTAGTTACTAACGCTTCAAACCGTTCATCATTTGGACATTTGTACAAAAAGTTATGATGGATTTACTGAAGGCGGGTAATGCTGTGTTCTAGGGCACAGGCAAATCGCAGTTACCCAATGCGATTTATAAATCGTATTCGACACTTGCGACTTACTTGGACAAATTACAAAACGCGAGTTTCATCCATTTTTAACACATTTGGAGCTATGGAGCTCGGATTGAAGCGATTTTTGAGGCGATTTTCACCATATGGATTGGGGTAAGTGATTCTAACTCGATTTTGGTTAAAATACATGAATCTATTGTTGTTTTTATCATGAAATTAGTGAATTGGGTTGAAAATGGTAGAAATTCTCTATACCTTAGATTTAAGATTTGGAGGTCGATTTGTTGTTGGAATTTAGTAATTTTGGTATGGTTGGACTCGTGGTTGAATGGGCGTTCATATTTTGTAACTTTCGTCGGATTCCGAGACGTGGGCCCCACGGGTGATTTTTTATCTAATTTCGGATTTTATTGGGAAATTTGGTATTTTCACATGGGATTGATTCCAATAATCTGTGTTGATTGTATTGAATTATTTTTGGCTAGATACGAACCATTCAGAGTTGGATAATCGAGGAAAATGTCAATTATTGGATTGAGATGGCGTGATTTGAGGTAAGTATCTTGTCTAACCTTGTGTGGGGGAATTTCCCCTTAGGCATTGAGTCTTATGTGAAAATTGTGTGATTGAAAACCATGTTCGCGAGGTGACGAGTACGTACTTGGTTTATATGTGCAAACTATATCGGTTAAAATTCGTAGACAACCTTATGTATTAAATTAGAAAATTGTTTGGATTTATTAAATCTCTTATTTGTCTAGATTATTTTTATATGATAATTTGGTGCGATTGCTACTTGACTTTTATGTGAATTCTGTGTTTGTTTGAGTTGCTATTTTTATGAAAATAATTTTCATTATTGATTTTATCTACATACAATTTAAATGAGAAATTTAGTTAATAAGATGAATAAATCTATCTATTTCATGAAGTTGTGAATTAAAAAAAAATGTGTAGTCCCTTGATGAATTTCTTTTCAATTCATGTTGTTGAAATTGATATTGAGTTATAAAGGTTGTAAATCATATTGAGGCGAAGTGTTAAATTGTGAAATATTATTTTGTTGAGTTTTCACTCCCAGATATTTTGTTAGAATTTGTGTGCGCATTATGACCGAGTCGTTGGCTTCTTATTATGGAAAAATAATGTATTGTTGATTCATGTGACAAGTTGTAATATTTGGGCACCTGATGTGAAATTTATGATATGTTGTAATATTTGAGCACATGACGTGAAATTTGTGATTTGTTGTAGGATTTGAGCACTGGATGTGAAATTTATGATATGTTGTAATATTTGAGCACTTGACGTGAAATTTGTGATATGCTGTAAGATTTGAGCACTGGATGTGAAATTTGTGATATGTTGTAATATTTGAGCACTTGATGTGCAATTTGTGATATGCTTTGATATGTGATCACTTGAGGTGCAAGTTGTATTATGCTGCGATAATTGGGCACTTGAGGTGCAAGTTGTATTATGTTGTGATATTTAGGCACTTGAGGTGCGATTTGTGAAATATTGTGATATTGATACGCATGCGGTGATATAAGGCCAGGGTGTTGAAACGCATGCGGTGAGATAAGGGTGACTTGAAACGCGTGGCTAGTAGGGGAACTACTAGAAGTCATGCGGTGTGATAAGGGTGGCTAAAACGCGGGATGCTATTTCGGGAAAAATTATTTTATTTAAAATTATATGTGAAGGCTCCCGCGGTGATATAAGGAAATGAGATATTGTGAATTTATTTATGATTTAGGACTACGAGGCGGTACCTCGGTAGTGCCCTGTTGATATATCTTTATTTATGTTCTTGTCTTTGGTGATTTTGTTTCATTAATATGTAAATTCTTATCTTCTTCCGTGATGTACTAGTTGACATTATTATTATTATTATTATTATTATTATTATTATTATTATTATTATTATTATTATTATTATTATTATTATTATTATTATGTGTTTTGTGCTCCTTGTTGCATTGTGTTCACTTTAACTTTTTAGTACGAGACTTTGAAGATTTATATTTTTGGGTTTTAACGATTTTCAATGATTGAATTGTTTTAAATAAAAGAAATTACTATTATGTTTTAAATTAATAAGTTTTACATCCAAATCAATAGTTTATATGATGCTTTAATTTAAGTGCAATGTCATTTTCTTCACTCAAACTATTTGTAAAGTAAATTGGTCGTGCATATTTTTTTATATATTGATATTTTTGGCATGTGAGTTGTCCGTGCAGTTGTGATAGAAATATGGGCACGAGGTGCCGTGGAAATATGAAAGTGGGGTGAGGCCCGTATTACGAAAAATATGAAGGTGGGCTGAGACCCGTATTTTTATGATTGTGAAATGAGGTGTCACAATGTGACTTTTATTTGAAAGAATTATATTCAAAATATTATTTCAAAGAATTAGATTTGAAGGATATTTATTTGAAGGAAGTATATTCGAAATATATTTATTGGTAAGTATTATATTCTAAAGATTATTATTTGGAAAACTTTTAGATGAAATATGTGTAATTGAAGGACTTGATTAAATGGTTGTACTTGTAATCATAGTTTGTTGAGCGATATTTATGGTGTTCCTGTTGTCCGGTTGTTTATATCACTAGTTGATAATTGTTGGTATCATTGCTATTTGTTTCCTATTATTGTGGTATGCTATATTGCATAGGTTATTAGATGTGTCTTGACTGTACCTCGTCACTACTCCACCGAGGTTAGTCTTGATACTTACTGGGTACCGCTGTGGTGTACTCTTACTATACTTCTGTACATTTTTTTATGTACAGAGCCAGGTATTGGAGATATAGGACTCGGAAAGAGTTAGAGAGTGATCGCAAGGATTCAAGGTAGAGCTGTTTGGTCGTCGTAGTCCCTTGGAGTCTTTCTCTTTTATCGTACTATCATATATTATTCGAGCAATATTGTATATTTAATTTCCTTCCGATCATTTCATGTATTCAGTTAGAGTTCGTGACTCAGTACTACCAGTCTTGGGAGGTTGTATCTTTATTTTTGCTGTTGGTTTCGATTATCTATTTTAAAAATAAAAATGGCTTGAATTGTTATTATAACCGACTTACTTAGTCTTAGATACTAAGTGTCATCACGACTCATACGGTGGGATTTTGGGTTGTGAGTTGTGACAGATATCTGGCAATTTTTTAACAATATGGGTATATAAATACCTGGTGCAAAAAAAAAAAATGATGTTAGTCCATATAACATCACGGAAACAGCCAAAATACATTGAGCGAACATAACAATAACATGTAATAAATGTAACAACGTAAAATAGATGAAAAAATTATGTCAGAATCTTATTATATAAAGAATTTGAAAGGACTTTCAATTAGAATAATTTTATTTGAATGTTATCGGATTGTTGAACTTTGAAAGGCAAATTGACTGATCCTTTCCTTGTCAATAATTTTGCCTAAATCAATCTAATTGAGCCTATTTCTTCACTCCTAAAAGCTCTATGCTATTGATGTTTTGCAATAGCAACTCAAAACCTCAGTTAGAATCCCTCTGGCAGATATACAGTATGCATTTATCAAATAGAATAACACCAATGAAACTCGAGGAGCATCTGGGAATATATATAAAATCAATCTTCCAATGCAGAGGATANCTGAGTAGATAAATGAAATGTTGTTATTTCAGAAATATTTGGACAAAAGGAGTATTACACTCTCACCTTTGTGCCTTTTTTTTTTTCTTTCATCTAATCTTCAGGTGAACTTAGATCATGTGGTTCTGACATCGAAGACGGGAGAAGAAAGAGAAGTGCAGAAAAAAGTTTAAAAAAACTCATTAAACAGAGAGAAGGCACTTCCAATCGGGGCAAGAGTAGCAATTGTAGAGCACCTGTTTTTGGGAGCTTAGATCTAACCAAGCATTATGTGTAGCTTCACAAGAGCTAAGTCAGTAGAGTAAACAAAAATTTTAGCTTTCCAGTGTAAACAACAACCTACAAGAGTAAGTGAAATGTAGTAATATTAGCATATCATATTCGGAAAAAGAAACGGAAAATCTCAGCCCAATCTTTATACAGAATAAGTCACAAACCTTTCGGAGAAATTACAGCTTGCGCATTCTAATTCAATCCAATGAAGAAGCAGACGATGTGAAATGGGCTTTCTAAATAATATTCTGGAAAGGACTAACATGGTATTTATTAAGGGAATAATGATCAAGATAGGAATGCTTTTCGGATGATTTCTTCATAAACTACGTTATAGGTAGAGTGGTCATCTGTGTCGTCTGTTGTGGGCGGACATATTAGTATTTTTACGTTTTCTGAACTTTTTGCCCTAGATAAAGCAACATAAAGTTGACCATGTGAAAAAACTGGTTCACGAAAAATAAATTCCAACAAAATCTAATGTTTGACCTTGAGCTTTGTTAATAGTCATAGCGAAACATAATCTAACTGGAAATTGTGTTCTTTTAAAAGGAACTGGTAAGTTCTCATCTTGTGATGCTACTAATAGTATCTTTGGGATAAATACATGTTTATTTTTTAAATCACCACCGCCAATAGTAGCACTAATGACATGCGTTTTAAAATCATGACATATTAATCGTGTACCATTACATAATCCTTCAGAAGGATTTATGTTTCTTAATAATATAACTGGACAACTTGTTTTTAAGGTTAATCTATAAGGTGGTAAGTTAGCAGGAAGTAATGTATGTAAAAAATCTTCAAATTGGGATTGATCATTTGGTTCTATAGTTTCATCAGTAGCAGTATACACTTTAGCATCGTTGGGAAGTCGATGTATAAGCATATCATTTATTTCATCAAAAAAATTATTTTTTGTAGTCAAAATAACACGGGAAGTTATGGAAGACATATCAGAAAAGAATGTATGTATATTAGGATAAGTTACTTTGAATAAAAGATCCAAAGATTATGCTTTCATTAGTAAAAGGAATGATAAAATTATGTGGAATTTCAATTCTGTTGTAGTGAATAGTTCTTTCTTGTCCATTTCCAATTCTCATTAAATATTTACAAAATGCAGGATCTCTTTTGGCACGCATGTTCTCAGATAAACATAATTTTTCCAGATGATTCCAAATATCAGAGTACAATAGGCTTTCAGAAATAAAGTCTTCTTTCTTACCACTACGAACAACAGGAAGTGTTTGTCTAAAGTCTCCTCCGAAAACTACGACTTTCCCACCAAAGAGTATATTTGTATCCATGAGATCTTTTAAAAGTGTATCAAAAGATTCAATCAATTTTTTTTAGCCATTGAGACTTCATCCCAAACAATTAACTTTGAATCTCGAATAAGAGATGCTAATGAACTTTGTTTACTAATATTGCAAGTGAAATTTTCATCAATGTCAATGGGAATTTTAAAACGTGAATGAGCAGTCCTTCCCCAGGAAGAATTGAAGCGGCGACACCAGAACTTGCAGTTGCTAAAGCTATAAATCCTTTTGTTCTTACAGTAGCTAACAACGCTCGATATAGGAAAGTTTTTCCAGTTCCACCAGGACCGTCAATGAAGAAGGCTCCTGGTTTATTAGAGAAGATTCTATCAAGAATTATATTGTATGCTTTTTTTTGTTCAGTATTTAATTTTCTTTGTAATAGTGCATCTTCTTCACTAACTATTATATTTTTTTTCAAAATGAACATCTTTTGCCTCCGTTATTTTTCTTGAAGGTGTAATATTCTCAGTAATAAATTTGAATTGATTTATGTTATGCCCCATTGAAAATAAAATTTCGTTGATGTGATTTAAAACTGAATACTGGATATCTTTTGTTTTTCATATTTGGAATTTTTCTAAAATCTTCTGACATAGAATCTTCAAACTTTTCCCAAAGTTCTTTTGTATTAGCAGGACTGCAGTAAACTAATAATGTCGCAAATAAGCGTCTCAAACTGCAAGGCATTTGATAGGTCATTGCTTCAGACATACACTCAATTAAACTGTTATCAGAATGTAATAAGCCCCTTTTTTCCGCAGCTTCTCTAAATGTACTGCAACATTTCTCATTCACTTTAAGAAGATCTTCATATGATTTGGGTCCTCTTACGTTCATTAGAAGTAATGTAAGATAATATCTTTCTCCTTCTGTCGGATGACATGTTACAATACGTCCAATAGCTGGACGTTGTTTTGGACGTGACCACATTTTGTCAGTTGATGACCACACAAAATATTCAGGAAACTCTTTATACAGTAAATTGAGATTTATAGCATCTTTGTTAGTCCTGTACATTGTAAAAAATTCAGTTAACATTGTTTTGTTAACCATTGGATTGTTTATTATTTGATTCACACTTTGGTTACTTTTGAAAGATATAAATTGTTGTCCTTCAAGATGTAGCTGAAGTTGACAAACAGTTGGAGCCATTTCACTTATGGAAAATCTAAACAAACGCCATGCGGCCTCTGGTGGGGAAACCCATCTTGCGGATTGGTATTCTTTAATTTCATTTATTTCTACATTTGTACCATTACCATGCACAGAAAAAGCAATTTTGTCATGTCCTTTACAAATATATTTGTAAATATATTTGACAACTTTTATATCAGAACATATTTCAACATTGATATGACAATTGAACTTACAGAGTAAATATGGATTGTATGGAACAACCCAAGAATTATCAATTTTGCGTCCTTTAACTTCGACTGGTGTAATTTTTCGTCTTCGGTAAAATGGATATAAGTTTTTTCCCTTTGTTGTTTGTTCAATAATTTCTTTTGGATATTCTTTTCCATGAAAGAATTTGTAGGATTTAAATAGCCACAAGGTCCATGAATCATGTATTTAATTACAAGTTTATATAGATCAGGGTCTGTGTTGCGATCAGGTAATTCAGCACGAACAATTTTATCATAAGCTTGTGGAGTGAGTAATTTGTATCTATCTTTGAGTATAATAAGGAAATGAACATGTGGAAGACGGCGTTTCTGAAACTCGATAGTATACATAAAAGCTGCAACCTTTCCAAAAATATTCTTTTTCTTAATATCTGCTTTAAGTTCTTCTACTTTTGCTCTAAATACTCTACCTATTAAATCGGGTCTATTTTGGACCTCATCTGTTGGCAATAAATGTTCTTGTATTTCAGGCCAAGAAGGATTGCAAGTCATTGTTAAAAGTATGTCGGGCTTTCCAAAACGTTGTACCAATACAATAGCATCCATATATCTTCGACGCATGTCTCTTGGACCTCCTATAAAACTACCAGGAAGAAATATTTTTTTTCCAATATTTGAAGCATCTCTTTCTCCTTGTCTTAAAAGATCAATAATCCCTTGTAGTACTTCAACTCTAAATAAATCTCGATTAAATAAAATAAAATCTAATCTTTGTGTCTCAAGTTTTATATATTGGTCAACAATATACTATTGAAATACCCTCTGTAAAGTTTCATTCGGTTAATTGTCTCTTGTTTGAATTTTGTAACAATAATATTCACGACAAGAAACTGTTTCTCTTTTCTTTTTTCCTTTTGATACAACTTCAGATTCCATATCAAGCAGCCCATCGATTGAAGTCATGTTCCTTATACTTGGCAGTTGTTCACATTCACAGTATACTTGGTAATTTGAATAATTATATGTTTTTTAAATTTTTTTAATACCACAATGTTATCCATTTTGACCATATGGGAATAACAATGGGTATTGTAATGGATCATAATATCCATAATAATAATTTACCAACTGGCTTCTATTGCTGTGAGTGTATATTCGAATATGTGGTGTGGAAATTCTGTCATTTGTTTGGTCTTCTATCCATATTATTGCACCAACTTTAGATGCAGTTGGTAAATTATATGTTCGTTGGTCTAAGCTAGAATTTGATTTAAGTGCAATGTAAAATTCAGATAAATTTGGAACATCTCTTAATGATCTCAGAAAAGAGGAATAAGGATTGACCTTTAGTATATCCATGAGTTTCTTGATAACTGTTTCATTAATTTTATCCGATAAGGCCATTCGATTTGTTAGCTCATTTTCATTGTCGTAGAAATATAACTGTAAAAATTTTCCTGTTGCTCTTGAAGGTACCAAATCATCGATGAAGTGGTACATTTGTCCCTGAACTCTAAATGTATAGATGCCACGATTTCTTTTTGCTAATTCTCTATCATAATTTACTTCAAGTGAAGTAAATGCAAACATATTATTGTAGGTTCTACTATAAGTGCGAAAATATCTAGATTCATCAGTGTCACCTAAAAACAAATTTCGTAACTCTTCAGGCATTTGATGTGAGATCAATTTAATTGATCCATTATCACAACAAAAAGTTAGTGGTTCATATTGAAATCGTTTTGCTCCACAAAATTTACAATTTGGAATTTTCTTTAAATGTATGTAACTTTTTGGCATTAGATTATCATTTTGTAAATTGACTTCTAAATTTTTTCTACCTGTACATGGTAAATAACAATTATGTCACATATAGAAGTATTAATATATAAATTATTACTTTAGTAGATAGATACATACCTCTCTTTGAAGTAACTCTGGAAGTTAAAGTGTTTGCCGCAGCATCATCATCATATGTACCTGATGTTGATCCTGGTATTGGAATAGCCAATGTTTACATATGATTAAATAATTAGAAAAGTAATAATGTTGGAATATTTAAAGTAATATTTATGGACTGACCTATTTCAAAGATAGAGAAATAATCAAGTATACGTTTTCCTCTGTTCGAAGCAAGTAACGTATTTGTAGCTACAGAAACGTGACCTATATGCGAAATAACTTCAATGAGAGTAGATTAATTTTAACATGTATGTATGACAAAAATTATAATTTATACAAAAATATTTCATAAAAGGAAGATATCAATACAATTTACTAACCTTCTTGAAGGTGCGACAAAGGATTGGTAATTGTAAGACCGCTTCGCTTTTGAGGTCGGATATCAACTTCCAGAGATGAGACTGTATTACTTGAATGTTGAAGGACTCTTTGTTTTTTCAATTCTTTTATCTCGCAGTTGGGACAAAAATAATTGTTTTCTCTCAGGTGACATTTGCGCATTTTGGTTGTGTATTTAGTCTTTTTTGGTGAATGAAGACCAATTTAGTCTCCATTTCTAATGGCACTGCAAAAATCACTTAATTGCACTTCATACACAAAACATTTTTAATCACAATGTGCCTAATTATACTAATCTCCAAATTACCCGGTAATTGAGTATTGAGATTACTTTACGTAGTTATAACTACAACTTTATCGATGCATAACATATATGGTAAATGATGTACTTTTGTGCAGGATCAAGTTCATATAATGACTTTTACTACTGCCGCACTATGCACTTCTAATATGTTTCATCGTATGCTTGATTTCAACAGGTTTACAACAACATTCTAATTCATCAGTCAACAACTCAGAAGGTACACTGTTTACTTCTCCTAGACATTACCACTCAACAACATACCACTCAAAATAGCAGTTGCTAATAATATCCATCGCAGTTAAACTTGATGCGCTCACAGATCAAATTATTTTAAGAGATGATAGGCAAAGGAGGTGATGACATTACATAAAAATTGTGGACACATACACCGCAGAACTGTACCATGCCTTGAGAACTTAATTAATGGTATGAAGGCTTTCTTGGGAGTTCTTCTTTTACTTAGTTTAGCAGGCAACAGTTACCACCAAAATAATCAATCATTCAGATGTTTGGAAGACAACACAAACTGAAACGCATTGTCTTCACAATAATTCAAATCTCAATTATGCCAGCGAAACAACAGCGTCTACTGGACCCAACGCTATTCGGAACAGGTATTTAAGCAGTTTCATTTTATTTTGACTGTTAAAGGAATCAACTTTTGGCACGTAAAGCAGCTAGTACAATATCTCTTACACTCTCCCTTAAAGATTGTGCTATCTAGCGGTTATCATAGACCTAGTCCTTTTGGCCTTCCTGATCAAGTTGCTGGGTTTTTTCCGTTTTATCTAATAACACGTACACACAAGACATGTTTGATAGCTGAGGGCATGTTGTTCAGTTGTTCATCATCACCTAAATCATGCTCAACATAATTCACACGTTTCCACAAAGAAGTACATTAACATTCCTGTATCCAACTTTTATCTCAATTGCTAAGATCAACGCTGCAATTGGGATTCGAATCAAGCCACTGAAAGCAAAGATTCTGAAAAGGATACCTTCCCTTGCCAATGGTAATCAATCCATCATAGATACTAATCCAGTAGCTTTGAAATGCTGAAGTATAACAGAGACCAATCCTAGCATCGCCCAACCACTGTTACATCATTATGTGCAAAAGCATCAAAAACTACACAACCCCTTCCTGCTTCTCTAAATGTCAGATCATTAGGCGAAGCACACTCGAAAGGCGCCACACTAAGAAACTTGTTCTGCTTCTTCTACCGGAGGAAACAATTCTTCTTTACTTACTTCACAATATAGCTGGCAGTGAACCATATTTTTAGCTAGAAGATCAATAGTCAATATGAGAAAAGGTTGAAGAAAAACTTGCCAACATGACGCACACAACTCTTTTGGCCTTTTAGTTAAAGATGTCCATAAACCAAGAGAGGCACTTTCATGAAATAGTTCAAGTCCATTTATTTCAAGTTATTTTCATCGCATAACACTAACAGTTACTTGCTTAAGTTACCTTATTACCCACATTAAGCATCTAAGTTGATTGAGCGCAAGATGTAGTAGCATACTTTAATATATTTCCAACATGTGCAGAAGGCACAAATACATTATCTGGTAAAAACCATCTTCAAGCAGTAGACACATAGTACCTCAAAATATAAGCATTGTTTGTATCTTTAAGTACAACACAAGCATATCCTAACCTATCTTCAGCAATGAGATAGAGTTGAACTCCCAAGCTTAGTAGTCATTTTTCTGTATTTCAAAAACCAGAGAATAGGGAGATTTTGATGTACCCTGAAATAGAAGGTAAACAACAGTCAATTAAAGAAAATGGAGTTGAGAGAAGCAGAAAAATAGAGTCGAAGCTCAGAGCAAGATCTTTAGCGAGGATAGACATTCACAGGTATCTTCAAAATCAGTTCCTTCAACAGAATGTTAGTTTATATTCAAAAGAGTAGTGCATATATAGAGTTGGTGAAAATTGAGAAAACACATTTCTAAAATATTGCCATTAGCATAAATTTGGCTGGAGATTGCCAACGTAGTACAATTGACATTTGTGGAGGTCAATGCTATACTATATGACAGGGCATTTTCTAAGACCTACAAAGTATCACACTGTGGTGAAAAGTCACAAGAGTTACGCTAAACATAAGTAGCGTAGCAGAAGATATTGGAAGCAAATAAAAAGATAAGCAAATAGAAAGATGCATGCAGTAGAGTAGATGGATGTTACAGTTAGAATTTGTTAATTGGTCTAAGTGGGAGAATTATTTACCTAGACTCCAAATGGCTAAGGATTGGCAGGCCCAATAAAATCACATATTCCAAACAATCAAGAACATATATGCCTTGTGGTAAAAGGGAACTACAAAAGAACATATAAGAATCTTCTTTGGTAAAATATTTGTGCAGAAACTTGTGAAAGATGATAAACTTTTTAAAGAGTTCCTAAATGCTTGAATTATCAGGAATATGAAAGCACATAAAAATGACAGTTGATTTAGCATGTATACTAAAGATTTCATCTTTCTTCATTTTAAAAGGCGGCATGGAATAATCTGCGTGATCTTAGGAACCTGTTGCAGTAGTTCCTTTACCAAATTCCAGAATATGAAGTACACATCAGCGATACCCAAATCAACATTGGCATTCACATGTGACTGCACAGGGCGAAATACAAAGCACATTATCGAAATAACACTATCTCATCTACCATAACGGCACTACAGAGAAGCTCTTCAAATAATAACATTTTGTAAATCTAACAATTCATAGAAATAAGAAACGTCGAATTTAAGTAGATGGAAATATCTACTAAGATCAATTAATCTTATGTGGCTAAGGTGAAAGTTATTTCAAGTAATTTATCAGAAAGTGGTAGACTGTTCTACCTGTTAAATCTGGAACATTGAGGCAGCAAAAAACTTGTATAACCAGTGCATGATCGTTCACTACTATCCAGGGAGGCGGTACCATTCACCTCAGGATGCCAAAAAGTATTTTGTGCAGTGATCCAAAAGCCCAAAAATCCCAAAATAAGCTGCTACTTCCTATTTGCGGTTAGAAGTGGGAGGAAATAAGCAAATGTAAGCTACATTATGTTTGAATCAAAGCAATTTAGAATCTAGAGGAAAGAATCAAATCTCAAGTACAGATACGCAAGAAGACATGCCTTTTACTTTCTTTTTGATGGTGTGGATGGTTCTAATTTCAGCCCGGCATGGGAATAGTCGGATACCACAATTGTTGTTTCCGTTTCTATTACAGTTGACCCAAGAGGTTTGACTTTCTTTTTGTTCCTCTCACCAATACTGGGTTGAAAGATGTGCTCTTTTTCAACATAGGACAAAACGGATAGATTTGCATGCATGCTGCTGTAACCTTTCCAGGATGATTTTCTCAATTGAACGCGAAAGATTTTGTCTGAAAGCATGTGTTGGACATGCTTAATGGGCAGGAGTTGTTTCTGGAAGTAGAAGAAGTCAATCATTAGGTCTAAAATACTCAGTAAAAGGAAGCTAATAAGTATAGACGGCATTTTGTATAGTAGAAATGATTCAGTCGGCATGTACAACTTCATCTGAAATAATTACAAATAAATAATTTTTCTATATACCTTGGCACATGTTGTGTCAAATATATCTTCTGCTGTCATGGATAGCATGTTTTCGGCTCTGATACCACTGAAGGATTGCGTATAGGTGTTCGTAACACGCAGCGGAAGACAATAAC